GATTCGAGACATATCCAATCCTTCTCGAGAGGGAGGAAGGAAGGAAGGAAGGAAGGAAGGAAGGAAGGAAGGAAGGAAGGAAGGAAGGAAGGAAGGAAGGAAGGAAGGAAGGAAGGAAAGGAGAGAGAGAAAGAGGGGAGGAAGAAAAGAAAGCAAAGAAGGAAGAAAATATCTCCAAAAGGGGGGTGGGAAAATTGATGCGATAAGACCTCAAATCAAAACCAGGTGTATTTTTCAAAGTCAGACTAGTGTGTGGACACTGGGGACTTCAGACCAGCATAAAGTACATCTTTCCCTTTGGGCACTCGCCTCTGGAGCCCACCCACCATATAGCGGCGGCCAGAGGGTCCCTATCCAGAAAAGAAAGTCTGAGGCGAACGGCCCAGAGCCAATTCTGATTGAAATGGCTAGCCCAAGTTCGGAGTATGAGGGCGAAACGGGGTCCCAGCTTTCCACCCACCTCCCAGCCTTTCTCTAGCCCACTGCCCACCGATGGCGGTGGCCCAGATGCAGAGAGGCCGGGGAAACTGGACAATAGCTCGAGTTCCCAGCCTGGCTCCTCCGCCAAGTCCAAGGCGAGGGTTTGGTTTGTTTTTCCGGCCAGCCCCGCTCGTTATGCGCTTCTGCATTTCCAAGTCTGCTTTGGATCACTGCTGTCCTAGGTGACTTGGATGCCAGCAGATGTGGCCTCTTTTTTCCTCCTTCTCTCTTTTCTGCAAAAATGGATTTCACCCAAACATGCATCCAACGGGACCAGAGTAACCAACTCTCCCAAAGCTGTAGAGACCTTGAAGTTTTTACACAACAGCTAGAAGGAATTGTACTCTTTGCCTCTGTTCATCAGAAGGACGCAAATCCAAATGTCCAGACTTCCTGGCTTTGTTTTCCTTCCTCCGAAGGAATTTTTAGGCACTTTACATAAAGCTCTTAAGAAACTCCATGTTGACCAATAAAATTAAATAAATCGAATGCAAGCTATGAGGTCTATCTCCTAGGCTATTTGACTATCTTCCCCCCTGTGCGAAAATGCAGTTTGCAAGACCAGATCGCCCTGACAAACGTCAGAGCTTTGGTTCTTCCTTACCTGGGAAAGCTTGGAGAACCTGGGAAAAGGGACCTGATGTGCCCAGGTTCTTGCCTGCCCTTCCCACGTCCGCTGGCTCTCTTCCTGAGCTGAGTGAGCTTTGTGCCCTTGGATTGGGCCTCCTGAAACAGCTTCAGACAGGCAAAGAGCAAAGTCAAAATCAACTGCCTACGCCTTTTCCCTGGCAGCCTTGAGCCTCTTCCCCCCACCCTTCACCACCTCTTCCCCAATAACGAATATTCTCTCCTGTTCATAAAAAATGAGCAAAACAACCAGCTCCCCCTCCACCCCAGTTATCTCCCGCCCAGGCATTTCGTGTAGGCTGGGAGAGTAATGAGTTAGGTTTCATTTAACAGCAAATAAAGCTGTGAACAGGACTGCTCTGACTGCAGGGGTGGTTCTCCCCTATCCCCTCACACCCTGCCTCTTTGCTCCCAGCCTTCCCCACTAGCAGTCCCAGAAGGTTTGCCAAACGCAGTTGGCCTTTCTTCCTCCCTTGGGTTCCAAAGCCTTCTCTTGGGACAGCTCTACTCCTGGGAGTTCACATACGTGCTATTCACAGCTCAGTTTTTTCAGTAACCACTGCAAACCTCCCCCACCACCCCCAGCCAGTACCCAAAGTCACAGCCAGGCCCCCTCCTCAGACCAGACACCCTGGCTGCACCTCCACCCTCTCCCCTCTCATTCTACACAGTGCAATCCTTGAAATCGTTTTTGTTTCCACATATCCTTGGGGGTGATGAGGGTAAAGGTGAAAACCGCCCCCCTTGCCACGATGGGAAAAAAAAAGATATGGAGCTGAAAAAGGTAAACTGACTGACACCCTCATACCAACCTTTTCAGGGTCACTTTTCCCCCTAAGGGAGGGGTGCAGTTAATTAAAAAGGAACAGCCAGGACCTGTGGGTAGGGTGGCACGTCCATCTCACTGCTGAGGACCGCGGGTTTGTCTGCTCTACCCCAAGCTGAAGTTGACTGCCAAAGGGCTATAAAGTCGGAGGTCTGTCTAGAACAGTTTTCGGTTCTCCTAGACGTCCCGTGTTCAATTATGGCCTTAAAAGCCCTCATACAAGTGCAAGAATAGGTTTGCCATCGCCCAGGGGCGGGGCGAAGCCGCGATGGTGGCGCCTTTGTTATCTCAAAGTCACTGAAATCCTTCAGACAGCCCTTTTGTTGGAGGGAGGGGGATGGTTGAAGGGGGGAGTGGATGGTGGGGGAGGTTGTAATTTTTATATCGAAACCTCAGCGCAGGAAAGAAAAAGGGAAAAGCCCTAAATCTCCAAAGAGGTACAATTTTCTTCTTCGGTTTTTTTTTTTCCCCTTTTCTTTTTCCGAGAGTAAGTGAAGGAGAGGAGAGCAGGCAGGAAGAAAACGTGTTACAACCTTGGAGTTGCCTCTGGAAATCCACGTTATTTCCTTGAAATGCAATCTCTTGCTGATGTTCTAGGGTAGAGAACTTCCTACTCCCTTCCCCTCAGCGCTGTCCCTCCCCCACACCACCCATTTATTTATCTACCTCAACCCAAGCAACAGAGGACAGAAATGGTGAGCTGGGAATGATGGAATCATCCTGAAATTTATTCCGCCAACCTTAAGAATTGGAAGGTCCTCTTGCCGCAGACCCTGATTAGAGTTCGTTAAATGGTGGTGTCCGAGGGATGTGATTTGTGAGAAGTAATCCTTGTAAAAAAAAAAAAAAAAAGGCATATAAACATAAATGCTAATAAATTAGTTTACTCCACTACAAAGTAATTACTGCGTATTATTGATATTTATAGCAGGTATTCAAATGGAATGGTGAGCCATCATTTGGCGAGCGAAAATACGTAATGAGAATATTTCTTTCCCGGAGCAAACATGATTAGATTTGTTATTAAGTCAGTTACGGTCAGCTCAGCAATAAATAAATAAATCAATGTTGACATTTAAATACTAGAAATCTTTGAATTTAGGCTGCAAATCCCCCCCCCCCAGATATGTAGATACTTTTGACCTCTGGGAGTGGGAGACGGGGAATGGGAAAGGTTAGTTCTTTTCATATTTCGAGTTCCTTTTGGTACCTTACCCCTGAAAGAGCCAGGAAAAGAGGGATGGAAAGTGGGATCAATTCCTAAGCACCCCAGCTTCTGCAGCGCCCTTTGTGGCTGGCTGCCACGGCCACCGATTTTTCCCTCCCTCTTCGCCCCCCCAAAACTGGGCAATTAAATGTGGCAGAACTGCCAGGATTTTCCTTCACTTCTTTGACTTTTTTCCCTTTCTCTAAAGCGAATAAGAATTAGATTGTCGGAATAACCACAAGCGTCTCTCTCTGTCTCTCTCCGACTATCTGTCTCTGACTCTGTCTCTGTCTCTTCTCTTGTCTTTCTGCGTGTCTCTCTGGTTCTCTGTGGATGTTTCTGTTTCTTTCTGGGTATCTCTGTCTCTTTCTGTCTATCTCTTTTGTCCAGCTGCCTCCTTCTAAAGGTGCTGTATTTGGCTCTCTCTTTATTTTCCTTGGTATTCCTCGTTCTGTGGGATGCACACCGAGACTTTCTAAGTCCCTGCCTTGCCCAGCCGCCGCTGCCTACTCGCTCTTCTCTTTCAAGTAAAGAAAGGCAAAGCCTTCACCGTGTTTTCAGAAACAGCTCCTCCTATTCTCTTCTTGGGGGTACCCACTCCCCCAGCACCCCTTCCCCAGGTCTGCCTGGGTCTGCCTGCTGCGGTGAAGCGGTGGCTGGGGAGTCATCGAGCATCCAGCCTGCTCCTGGAAAGAGTCTTACTTGTCAATTCCGAGTAACTAGGCTGGTGGCAATTAAGCAAGACTCGAAGTGTTTGTGGAGCCGGGACTCGCTTCATGGCCATTGGTTCCCCAAGCCATCAGTGCTAGGCATCGAGGAGAGCATGCAGCCTCTCTCCCCTCCCCAACCCACCCCCGGTCCAGACCTCTGCATCAGGGAGCTCCGAAGCTGGGGAACAAGCGTGGAAACGTGGGGGGGGGGGCAGTAGGAAGAGAGGAAGTGGGGGCGAAGAGCTAGAAAGATCCCGGGTGAGACGAACGCCCTGCATGGCTGAGTAAGTCGGGCAAAGCCCGGGTGAAAATCGCCTTGGGGGTTTGCTGAGGCCCCTAGTAAAGGGAGGGGAGTTATTGGAGCGCCTCGGAAGTGACCGTGAATGCGAGCGTGTAATGGAGCCACCGTGCAAATTGGACAAGCTCCAGCCCAGCACATTCACAGAGACTGAGGCTAGTCCTGAAACGGATAGACCGGGGGTAGGAAATGGGAGGGGGGCGAGTGGGAAGCAGGAGACCTTGACGGGAACGACTAGGGGGAGGCAGTGGGAAAGGGGAGTCCAGGAAGCCAGGGAGAAGGAGAGAGCCCGAGGAGGAACCAGAGACAGAAAGCACAAGCCCCCCCCCCCCAGCCCCAGTCCCTATGCCTCCACAATATCACCTTGGCTAAGGCTAGCAAGCTGCTAAAGGGGGGAGGGGTGAAACGGATAGTCGAGGTCTGAAGTCTGGGGGGGGGGGAGTGAGGCAGAGGCTCGAGCCACCCTCCCCCCCCAGGGGAGCAAAGCAAGGTCTGTCACGCGTCCGGCGGTCCTCGGAGGGTGCCCCAGCGAACATGAGTTACACTGGAGATTACTGAGCCTTGGGTGAGAATACCAAGTGCCGATCTCTTGCTTCCCTTGAGATGGCCACAAAGAAAGGAAAGGGGGGGGGGGGAGGGTTGGGGAGGAAGGGGGGGAAAGGGCCCAGACTCGCAGCTTGTCAATTTCAACATTTGGTCACATGACCAGCACCTCCCTGCTAAGGATGGGGATAGATTTCCACGTCAGCCTACGTCTCCAAATTTCTACTTCACGGATCTGCTTCAAAGACGCAGCTGCATCAGAGAATCATGTGGAGCTCAGCTAATGCGCCGAGAGCGAGGTAGCCCAGGATGGATTTTGATGAGCGCGTGCCCTGCTCGTCTAACATGTATTTGCCCAGTTGTACTTACTACGTCTCGGGTCCTGATTTCTCGAGCCTCCCTTCTTTTTTGCCCCAAACCCCATCTTCTCGCCCCATGACATATTCCTATTCGTCCAACCTCCCCCAGGTACAACCTGTAAGAGAAGTGACCTTCCGGGAGTACGCCATTGAGCCCTCCAGTAAATGGCACCCCCGGGCCAACCTGCCCCACTGCTATTCCGCAGAGGAGCTCATGCACAGGGAATGCCTGCCCGCCTCCAGCAGCGCGAGTGTGGGCGACATGCTGGCCAAGAACTCCGCCAACGTCTACCATCACCCCACCACCACGGGCACCTCGTCCAATTTCTATAGCACGGTGGGCAGGAATGGGGTCCTGCCCCAGGCTTTCGACCAGTTTTTCGAGACTGCGTACGGCCCCCCGGACAACCTGACCACCGCCACCTCCTCCGACTACCCGGGGGACAAGGGCGCGGACAAAATGCCCCCGGCGGCCGGGGCGGCCGCGGCTGCTGCAGCAGCCCCGCCAACTTCAAGTTCGGACGCCGGCGGCGGTGGCTGCGGCAGGGAGAATGCGGCGGCGGCGGCAGCGGCGGCGGCCTCAGCGGAGGAGAAGGAGAGGCGCCGGCGGACTGAAAGCGGCAGCAGCCCGGAGTCATCTTCCGGCAACAATGAGGACAAATCCAGCGGCTCCAGTAGGTATAAAGGCAGCGCCCCGCGCGCTCTCCGAGAGGGGACTTGGAAATGTAGCGCAGCCCCGCTGTTAAATTTTTATATGCTGTTTTATAAGCATATAAGGTTTATGAAGGGCCCTTAGATTTCCCCCAACAAAACTTTGTTATAAAAAGGCGCGATCACGTGGCGAGGGCTGAAATTGGCCGTGAAATACCCACTGGCCAATGGAGGCCTGAAAAAAAAAAAAAGGAAAGAAAAGCACCCACCCCGGTTCTTTTTTTTCCCACCCCCCTCACTCCCCCAGGCAGCCTCCCAGAGTCCAGGCTCCCGCTCCGGGGTCAGCCCTCTGGAAGGGGGGAAGCGGAGGGGGGGGCGCCTGTAAATTCACCCCCGAAAGAGAACCCGGAGCCTTTGATACCGAGGTAATCCAGCGCTTTTTATAAAAGCCATGTGTTGCGCCCAGAGTCTAGTTAGGGGCCCACATTCAAAGGCAGGGCTGATGTGTAACCACCTCCTAAGAGAACGAGGGAGAGGGAGCCGGGCTGCCCGGCTAGTTCAGCCCTCACGGCCCACGCTAGCAATATATTAGAAAGAAACAAATTAACCCAAAGCTGGCCTTTTTGTCCAAAGGAAGCCATTTTACTCAGGCACTGTGGCAATTACTGGCCGCCTTCTGTCCGGCGGCGTGTTCCTCCTCGCAATTGTTATTCAATCTGTCAGAAGGAGGTTTTTTATGTCTGTGGGGTTTTTTTTTTCCCTCTCCCCTCAACCCCTCTTTAAGACCGAGCTTGCCAAGGCTTTGAGAGACCGGGCTCTGTCTCTCCACATCCGCCCTACCTGCGGAGGATCGTATCTGGAAGGGACCTCGGAGAGGAGGGGAGTATTTGCTGAAATCTCGGGGAGTTTGCTTGAGAGAGGGGGGAAGGCAGGATCAGGGTCCGGTTATGGGGCTAGAGGAAGCGACGGCTCTGCCCAGGAGCCATTGCTTTTAACCAAGGGCAGGCTATGAGTCGGGACCGACTGGCCAAGTCTAGACTCAATGACCATTTGCCTCTGACAAAAAAAGGGGAAAGATTGTTTGCCAAACCCAAGCCCGATGGCCATGGCCGGGATGAAGGAGGTCTTACTGTGCCCCTTGAAAAACGCAAAGATGCCCCAGGTGCTAGGAGGTGAAATTTCCGTGAGCTGTTTGTTTAGTCTATTAGGGCCGTAAGAGTTTCAGGGTAGCTCCCGGCCCCCTTTAAAAGCTTCAGCCCCTGCAGCCTGTTGCTTGGGAGAACATGCGTTTCTGATCTGGAGTCTCGTGTGTTACCTTCATTGAGGGCGGGGGGGGGCGGTCTGGCTTGAAGTACTGACTTTTATCTGGGCTCTGCCTGGGGTCGTGTGAGGAGAGCTAGGTTCCTCGGCCAGTTTCCTGCAGAAATGATCCCCTTGCCCGGCCCGGCTTTGGTTTAGAGAGACGAGGTCGGCTGGAGAAGGGGAAGAAGGTGTCAGGAGGAGTCTGGTAGCCGAGACAGCCCGAGAGAGGCAAGACTAGGGGAGTGCCTAGCCCAAAGGAGCTGGGAGTCCCAGCTCCCTGCCCATGTTCCTCCGGTTAAGGGGTTAAGTTGAAACCTCAAGGCCACCCCTACCTCCAGACTCAGCCACCCTCTCTACCTTCTCTCTCATTCCACAGGTGGCCAGCGGACCCGGAAAAAACGTTGCCCCTACACAAAATACCAGATTCGGGAACTAGAGAGAGAATTCTTCTTCAGTGTCTATATTAATAAGGAGAAGCGTCTCCAGCTCTCTCGAATGCTCAACCTGACCGACCGCCAAGTCAAAATCTGGTTTCAGAACAGACGCATGAAAGAAAAAAAAATTAACAGAGACCGATTACAGTACTACTCGGCTAACCCGCTACTCTAAGAATCGGTCCCGCCTTGGGGGGTTCGTGGGGCTTTTTTTTTTTTCAAGAGGAGATTAAACTCAGATTTTGCCCTTGACAAGGTCAAGCCACACGGTGACTTTTCAGGAGGAAGGTGTAGAATCGAGAGACAGAGGGAACTGTGGGGTTCACACGCCAGAACAGCGCCCTGGACCCTCGGTGGGGTTTTGGCGTTATTATGGAGGACAATGGGATTGTCCTATTCCCATATCAACTGGAATCCATTCCATTGGGACCCCTGTGGCCCTTACGCGGAGTATTTTGGTCACTCCATGCCCCAGGGCGGAGCTTTTACCTTTTACTGTGACAGACCCTGCACCCGGGCTATGAGGAGACTATCTCCTTAGTTTCCAAAGGGAGGCATAGGACAAAGAGGGAAGGGATCTCCACACCTAGCTGTAGGTCCCTTTGCTTGGGCCCCAGTACAGGATGGCTGATCTGGGATGGAAGTGTCCGAGACCCAGAATATGCATCGAGGACTAGTGCGAAATCAAACTTAGAAAGGAAAAAACAAAAACAAGAACAGGAAACCAACAACACACCACCACGAACAAACTGCAAACTTTGGGAGGAGGGAGGAGAAGGGGTAGGGGACCGAAGAAGGGGAGTGTTCAGTGAGAGCAGGGTCCCCACTTCCCCTCAATGGAAAGGAAGACAAACAGTGCTCTCTCCAACAGCCGATGCGAAAAGAGACATACGAGATGGAACATTGGAAATGTTTCTGAAAGATTTCAGGTACCGACTCGCCCGATCCCTTTGGGAAAACAAACAAGTGCTATCCCAGCAGCCCCAGCCCTCTGCCCACCTGGAGAGACTCTGGGTTTTGTAGCGGGGAAGTAGTCGCGTTGGAGAGAGCCCTCCCGGGGCTCGGGCTGAGCCCCTGAACTTCAACAGTGGACCAGAGGGAGAAGGGAGAGAAAAGACAAACTCCCCTTGCAGGCTGTTGCTGACTCCCCAAACTTTCTTCAGGAAATACCTGTGGAGAGCGAGTTTGGCAAATCCCACCCAACACTTAATTGAAACGTGGATTTGTGCAATGCACTGACATTGGATCATTAAAAGCCCTTTCATCCAGTGTTGTTTGCAAAGGGAGGGAGGGAGGGAGGCAGGAATTCCGCGACCGGGCAGAGCAGGCAGACAATGTAAATACTCTGGTTCTGTTTTCTCCCTTCCAGTTGTGTGTGTGTGTGTGTGTGTGTGTGTGTGTGTGTGTCTGTGTGTGTGTGTGTGTGTGCGTGCTCGTGTGTCCCTCCTACCACTCCGTGTCCTAAAAAGCTTTGCCCGAAATCCACCAGGAAAGGAGAGTTGTTTGCAATTATTTTAAAAGAGAAATAGTCTATAGAGATATATATATTTCCCTGCAGGAACCAAAGCGATGGAAGAAAAATGCAATTTAAAGAAAAGGGAAGAATGAAAAAATATTTAAGGTTCTATATCTGTTTACAAAGGGAGCGATGTTCATGGCGAGGTTAATTTACTGGTGAGAATTTTGAATGTATGTTTCATACAGGAACAGTGTTTTACAAGACTTGTAAATAAAGAAACCATAACCTATTTTGTTTGAATACTTTTTTTTACATGTTTTAATTTGGGGGGAGAGGGGAAGGAAGGGGCTTTTCAAACTTGTGCAAAATCGGGGGTACCTACAAACGAATTGGGGGACAGTTAGCTTACCAAACGGGGCCTTGTCCTGCCTTACCACGATTCAGTGAGATGCAGTATCTTCATATTCCATCACTGTTTTGAGAAATGTATCGTCTCTATGTATGTACAGTGTTCTTTTCGTATGCCAAGGTATTGGGCTGCATGTATACACTGCAACGGGGCACAAGGAAAATAAAAAAAAAAGTAGAAACTTGATCATTTTTATCCTGGTTTGTGACATTCCTCTCCCTGACTCCTTCCCCTCACCAAATGCCTGAAATCAAATCACCCACAAATAGGGAACAAGGAAAAAGAGAAACACTGAGCCCACTCACTCTCCACTGACTAGAGAGAATTTGGTTCGGTTTGTCTTTCTTCATCCTAAGGGTACCCCAGGCTTCAGATGAAAAGGTTCAAAGGAAATCGATGTTGGAGGGGTAGGAACTTAATGGGGGTCACTAGGCTAAGAGTCCGTCCCCAGAGCCTCCACCACCTTGGCCAAAGCAGATTAAAAGAAAGTCCTGACTTTAGCCTCCAATAGCAAAGAGTTGGGGTGCTTCTCAGAGCGGGTCTTCAGGACAGACTCTGTTCTTCTCACCTTCCCAAGCTTCTCTGAGCTAAGCCCAGGGATGGGGTGGTGGGGAATTAGGTTTGTGGTGCGCTGGTCCAGGATCTTCATCAATCAGTTAGCCCGGAAAGGTACATCAGGAGACAAAATGTGTGAAAAATGAAGAAGGACTGGGCTGGGGGTAGCTCTTGGGGATCTTTCCAAAGGGGGATTCCTCTCCATTGATATACAAGGGAGCCTTTCCCTTTTATTCCTTTCCATTTTGTTGGGGGATTTTTTGGGGGGGGTAGAAAGTAGTCCACTTTTCTTATTGTTTGCTGGCTTTGAACTTCTATCTTGCTTTGGACATCACCCGTAACCTTGAGGTGAAGGGCGAACCAGCCAGGACCTTTTGTTGACCACCCCACCCCCTCAACCCCACCCACCCACCCAGTCAGGCGGGCGTCTGGCCCTGGGGAGAGGGATATAATCTGAGAGTGAGGAAGGGGAGCCTGTGTCTGTTTGTTTGTTTATCTGACTGGTAGGGCCTGCTGGATGCAGGTTGAAAAGCCAGCCAGATGGACAGAGAGATGCCTGGCAAGGAAATTAAGCAGACAGACTCACAGACAGAAAGGCCAGGATACTGAGGAATGGCAGGGGTTGGGGGGGGGGTGTGGGGGGCTGGGGGGGGAGGGGAAGAGGAGAGAGGAATCTCTGAGCCCTCCAGGCTGAAAGCAGGGACTTCCTTTTCTTGCTAGTTAAAAATTAACTGAAATTCGCGGCAAGTTGCTGGAGAGAGTGGAGGCCTAGAGCTGCTCCCTGGTCGGAGGATTTGATTTCCTGGCCCAATAAAAATCACATCCTCTTGGTTGCTGTGACAATGTGGTCATAAACCCGTCCGTGACCGGCCGATTTGCATATTTGGAATGCTCTGCTATAAACCCAGCCGAGGTTTTGAAGCAATTTCTTAGATGTAAAAATTAGATCTGAATAGCAGCGGTCTGGCCTCATTCGCCAGCTTCTCTTTATGAGAGGGAGCCGTCTTTAAAAACAGAGGACTCGCGCTCAGTCCTAGACGAATGGCGACCACGAGGTGGCGCGCTTCCGATCAATGTCAAAGCCGCCGCCGTGGGAGCCTCGGAGCCCTGCAAGAAGCTGGCTTGGCCTTTGTTCCTTTCAGATCCTAGGAGAAGCACGTTTAAATTATCTCACTTTCCCCTGTTCCCAGTCGCAAAAGGGGGTCCTCGAGATAGATTGTTAATCGCATTTAAATACACCTCCCATACACTCGAGAGGACGGGAAGGGAGAGCCAGCGGAAGAGATGGACAGTGCCTTAGGAACCCCACAAAAGGTAAGTGCCCACAAGTTTGAAGGTTCGAATCTCAGATGGTGTCCGTTTGAAAACGGCTCTGAGGGTTTGGTCAGGCCTGGTGGCCACCCCGCCTGCGGCCCACGCTTTGGGTTCAAGGTCCCCGGGGCTCAAGAGAAACGGAGCTCGGACACATTCGAAAAGTTGGAGATTTAACTCAGGGTTCTCCTTAGAAGCAATTGTCTGTCTTGTTTCTACTGTCACAACTTTGGTGGAGCTGCCTGGAGAAGCGGGCAAGTGGTAAGGGAGTAAGGTCATTTTTGTAGAGCTGCAGTTGTGTGTGGCGGGTGGTGTTTTGTCGGACGAGGTCTCTCCCTCTAAAAGTTTTACCGGTTGCAGCCTTAAACTCAGGCAGAATCAGAGGGCTCAATCCCTCGCTGGAATGTTTTGCTGTATATTCTGCAGGACAGCTAGTCCCCCCCATTCTAGTGCTGCTCCCTAATTCGCAAGCTGGCCTAGTGGGCGACCTTTGTTCTGAAGAGGGAAGGCCACTGGGCAGCGAGCAGATTCAGAGTTCTGCACCAGCAGAATTGGGAAGAGGTACTGGTAAATACGGATTTTCAAAAGCTTGCATTGTGCATGAACTCTGATAATGTAATCTCTCCGTCAGGGTTTTCATAAAACTAGATTTAAACAGACATAATTAATTTCTATTTTTCTAGGCTACGTTGTCCTCTCTCTCCCTCCCTCTCGCTCCCTCCTTCTCACTCTCCGTCTCTCTCTCTCCATATATATTTATGTATTTTCCTTTTTTTTTTGGTTTCATTCTTATTCGCTGTCTTCCTAAAACAGGCCCAGTTTCTGAAGCATGCAATCACGGGAGAAAAGCTGACCTAACTCACTTTCTCCCTCCATTCTCTAAATTTCCGAAATGGGTCATCCTTTCACTATCCCGTGCTACCGAATGAGGCTGAGACCTCGGGTGACTTCCTTACTCTGAGTCTGGTTCACTGGGTTCCTGGGTTCTGGAGGGTCTTTCATATTTCGTACTTGGGCCTACCCCTTCAAGGAGAGTGAAGGGCCATTTAGAGAGGGCAGGAGAGAAGACAGGCAACCTCTGAATTGTATGAAAAGGCCACTGGAAAGCCAGGGATGGCTAAAGAGGCTGATCTCTGAAGAAAGCAAATTTTTGATAGAGATCCTTGAAAGCAAAGGGCGCATCTATCAGCTTGGTTCAGGGCAGCTAAATTGGAAATGTTAACCTTATTGGAGATGAACGCGAAAAAGACGTCATTGGTGAAGAAAAATGCTTCTAAAATATGTGCGGCAATCTTGGGAAAGCTATTGACGGAATTCCAGAGTTCGTGGATTAGGCGACCTGGGACTATCTTGGAAATAGTGTTTATTTTTTGCAGGCCTTTACATCCCACTTCCCAATACTGCTAGAGAAAAATCGGGGAGTCCCACCATCCACTCTTTC